ACACGTGTAAGGAAGGTATCAATTGTTGATAAATAGCAAAGTCTAAGAGACATTGGTAAATGCAGGTCTACCAGATTTATGTCCTTTAGGGGTTTGTGGTAAAGAATGTTCATAATCGAAATCCTTTAGAAATACATCATTTGTGGTTCTGTTCATGGTCTTCTGCACCAAACATGGTAATTACTTGCCTGGGACTATAGGCTGTTTTGGGGGTTCTTCTTCTTAATGCACTCACGTGAAAGAACTGTTTTGTGAACTGCTGGTAACATAAATTAAGCAAAGGGTGGAGGAAGAAACATACCACACTTCTGCAGCTTTGGGCAACACCAAACTAAATATTCTCGATTTGTAAACTTTACTTTGATTAGAATCATTAGAGGATTGTCAAAAAGAGGGCACGAAACGGCGTCAACCGCACCCGTGGTTGATAAAGCAACCACCCGACTCCAATGTTCAAATCAATAAATCTACAATCAAGTTCGCAGGTATACATACTGTCCCCTCTACTATTCTTTTTTTTCTTCTGATATAGCCTTTCACCGCACGGGTTCCACTCTTGGCTGCGTTTATCTGACGCACTGGCTGTTTTTTAAATTTTGTTTCGCTCTTTTTAAAATACAAAAGCTGAGTCGATTGCTGGAAAATACACGTAGAGTTCAGTTTTATTTGTTTATTGATATATTTTATTTAAAGAATATTACTGAATGTATTCATTAACAACTATCCGCTGTAGTTAGGCATGTTGTGATTTCAGTTGAGAAACAGACCAATATATGGTTATCTGCATATAACATGCTAGAATGAAACGTTTTATTAGTTTTGCTTTGTTTAGGATACCAAATTAGCAAAAACGTATTGTTATTGAATGTCGTCATGAACAACTATCTTATGTAGCTAAACATGTGATTTTAGTTGAAAAAAAGAGGAATAGATTTTTATCTGCATATAACAAGCTGGAATGAAACACTTTATTAGTTATGCATTGTTATGCATTAAAAAATAGCCAAAATTAGCAAAAGTTTTATTAGATAAACAAAGAAAAATAAGATTCAAACCGCATAGACTGGGAGCTTGAAGTGTTCTTTATCCTATAACGATAACTATTATTATTTTATTTTGCATGAAAAATATTTTGATTTGTAGTCTAGCAATTTTCAATCTTGCACCTTTCTCTTCGAAGCAGAATTTAGCACACGTGATTAAATAATTTCATTGCACAATATTTATCAAGCTGAAAAAGGTCAATTTGCAATGTCTTACTCCCGGGATTTGGAGGATTACGGTTTTACATATTTCTTCTCTAAGGTCAATTGTTAACAGATGTATATGATTATCCGACTATGCAAAGTGAAATTGATCGCAACGTTTAAAAAGATAAAGAATCAATGAATACTGTTTCATTGTATATACGGATCGTACTACTTGTAGTTACTGAAATAGTAGATTATGTTAAAAATTACATATCAGAAAGGGATTTATACCTTATGGAAGTGACAGTTTTCACAATATTATATCAATGATGTCTCCAGTTGGTTGTATTAAATTATGTTCCATCCTATTACCTCTACTGAATGAAATTTGGTTGTTGTTTTTAAAATTATTTAATTTACACTTTTACTTAAAGTTGACAAAGTTTAGGCGGTATGAGTCATTTTTTTTACATAAAGATGATATTCACGGTGTGACTACCCTACAATTCCAGCATTTCATTCAACTCGAACGTCAATGAAAATTGCTTCGACTTGATATATAACATTTAGTAATGAACCATTTACTCAAGTTTAACCCATTGGTTATTACTAACCGTACTTCACAATAACTCTGCCTGGATGTTTGGAGGGGACTGAGATATATTTACTTTTAAGATTATATATTTCATTGTATGGAAAGCAACATAAATTCATCAATTAATTTGTGCGACATCCCTTTTACTTTTTTTTAATCCCCTTACTCCATATTTATGATTCATTTTAATTGTTTCCATGTTTCCTTGAATACTTCTTTTATCTCCCCGCACCCTTATCAACCCTTTTGTTTGTATTTGTATGTTTATTTGTGTTTTCACCCAATCATCGTAAAGATGTCAATACTTCTCATTTACATATAATATAATCATCAGATATAAATTATATTCATTACTGTTGCATGTTTTTCACGCTCACAAAGGACAATCATTTTCTCAGCGCTTCTCTTTCATAATTCAACTCTTTTCAATCATGATACTATTCTTGTAGATTGGTGCTTCATACATTTTCCATTACATATTCTCAGCTTTCGCATCAGGATCGTCACTTTCAAATCATTAGTTATGCGCAGCTGCACATAACACGCTTATGTAGAAACATACATTTGCAATTTAAACCGATACTCTCTCTCTGCACAATTCGTCGTTTATTGCACTTTTTAGGCTTCTTCGTTGAAGAAACGTTTAAGGGTTGGCTATCCTAAATGCAGAAGGCCTGTGTCTTACGTGGTATTTTGTAAACAGAATAGATACCATCCAGCGTTTGCTGTTCGTAACGCAGACTACCAGCACGTAGTGTAGCCAACCCTTCATACAATCAGTTTTAAACCAATCGTCACTCTCTAAAAAGGTACCGAAGCTATGACATCACACGCTCATCTAACCAATCGGAAAATAGCCGTTTGGAACGTGCGTGCGCTAAGAAAATGCAAAGAAGTCTTTATGGTTTTATTGAAACGCTTTACAACCAAGCCCGTAATGTCAAACTTCGATACTTTATACCGACCAATCAGGATTCACGTTTGAACGTGTCGCCCATGAAACATTAATTCTGATTGGGTGATAAAGATGGCATAAGCCTGATTGTATGATTTGTTATCTTAGTGATATATTCTACATTGTGAATTCAAATTATATCGTATCCATTCATGTCAGTGGATGGAAATTGCATCAACAACAAAAATGTAATTTTATTGGCAGGACTCTATCTCATTTAATACGTAATAGTGCATTTGATATCTGTTTATCCTAATTTCGTCATTCTGTTAATCAATATTCTGATTTGCCACAATATGAGGTATTTCAAAGTGTGAAGTTCGCTTTGAAATACTTAAAATGTTTCTATCTTACAGATGCACGTCAACGCTCTGATATATCATTATCATCAATCCGTTTAAATATGTTGAAAAAACAGGGATCGAGACAGGGTGAGACAGTTTGAAAAGCTTTCGATGTTTCAATATCTTGGTTGATATATATTCTCTTCTTGCGGTTTGAGTTGATTCCTACTGGAGTAAAGCTGTCTACTTGGTGTTGGTTTTGCGTGTTATGGTAATAATAACGATTTTAATTTGAACTGTTGGTGATAATGACGTCATCACAGCTACGTTGTGGGTCCCGCTTCGGGACAGACTACTACGTGTAGACGATAGAGGGACAGCCCCAATGTGCAATGCAGGGTCCATTTTAAATTGCCATTCCTTTCCGAGTGGTAAATACTGGGAAAGTGTAAAGTTTGATTTCCTTACCCTGTTGTTACTCAATTTTTGTTTTCTTGCCTTACAGGTTTTTTGCGGTTAACGGTTATTTAATCGCATATTGCAGTGCGTGCTGTGGTGGGGAGGAATAGTGACGGTTTACTAACAATTTTCTTTTTCATTATCAATTTAAAATATATGTCTTAATGGTATACACCAGAAAGAAATTTGCTTTATTACCCATTTTTTCCCATCTAAATGTTAATTGTGTAGATATTCTGCCTTTTCTATCAGACGGAATTTTCATACAACATAAATGTTTTGAAGAATCAACGTGGTAATGATTACCTGTAAATGTCATTTTATGTTCGAAGAAATTCAAAGATGTTTGTGTAGAAATCAACTTGGTAAGACTATCCACGATAACTGTAAGATTTGAAAGGGGAAAAGGTAGCGGGTTATAAAAACAATTGGATAATGATAAACGATTTAACCAAAGAAAAAATTACAATTGTAAGATGGGTCAAATCAGTTATGCGACTATAATGCAATGACTACCATTTGGTTTACTATCTCCCCCCAAATACTTCTCTGTATATTCAAATGAGAAAATTCATTACATGCTCGTTTTTTTTTTCAATTAAAAGTACAACAGATATAAGATGTAATGGTGACTATTACCAAATCAAATTAAATCGTCTCATATCATACTCTGTTTAGTTGCCTTCAAACCCCGCCCGGAAGTGAGCCGAAGAAGGTCATGTAACAATTACACCCGTTACATATTATGAAACAAACGGAATCATGGAATACTTACATCCACAAGTTATTCCAAATTCAACAGGTCACAATGGACATCCTTGCGAGAGGTCTTATCAAATAATTATTCATTCATCATACATGCGATGTTTTACTTTTGTCCCTCTGGTGATTGTGCTTTTCTGGCGAAAATTGATTCCTGAATTCGACAGGATCAATGCCCTGTAGCCTATGTGCTTTTTCATTTGAGAAATGGTTGGCATGGTTTTGTGGCCTATAGTAATTTCGAGGACAGAATAGGTGATTTGGAATCATGAAAATAATCTGACATTGCCAATTCTTCTCGTAGATTTTGTCGGAGACGGTATTGTCTGTTTTGGTGTCGTCGTCAAGGTGGCTTTCCAAATTTGTGGGCACGTAGGAAGAAGAAATCACATTATATGCCTTTTATGAATCATCGAGTAAAACGAAAAGTATTGGGAACCAATGGAGTTTGTCCGTCACCCAATTTGCTAAACTGTCATAAGAAAACTCTTATTAATCCGTAGTAGTATCGACTGTGGCTTTCAACCTGGACATCTCGCTACCGCTAATCCATCACATTAGTTTGTTGTTTAACCTGGAAGGAGGAAAACTGGAAGGAGGAAAACCAGAAGACGAAGCAGTAAACCTGGTAAAGAAAAATGCAGATAACATGACAAAAATAAATACCTTTATAGCATGTGTGCCTTTCCAGAGAACCTGGACGTCAATTTAATCTATCACCTTTTTTTTCAACCCTGACAATAATAAAAATGCAGAGATTTTAGAGGAGGTGTACCATCCGAGGCAGATGAGGTTAAAAGGACAGATGTTATCTGTTCCAGAATGGCGTGCCTACATCTTTCTTGCAACACCAATGTAAGTACAAGGTGACTGGTTTACTCTTCTGCCCTTATGACTAAACCAATTGTTGTGATTTGTTTAAGGTTGTAATGACTATGGGTATGTGCTCTTCAAGTCCGTTGAATCGGCGAATGTCTCTGTAATGTAGTTGCGGTCAAGGGTGTCCTAGACTGGTTTATTCCTCATTCCTCGGGACTGAACCATGACATGAGTATTAGCCCCGCATGACATAGCGCATCATAACTCCCGGACGACTAAATCGCTAGAACAAGTACTTCTTAATTGAGATAATTGTGGAAATGTCGCTTGTTGATATTCATCCAAAGTGTTGTCAAGACGACAGTTTTCTTATATAAATCATTTTTGTCCGGATAGTATTTCGCCATGAAAAAATGTAGAGGTTTCGTAGCATTGACTTTCCTTCCTATTGGCTCGTTAGTTTTGGACCGAAATATTGTCCTTCAAAAATATTCGTCCTAAGGACAAAAGAAGGAGTAATAACTTCATAATCGATGCTGTTGTTCTTGTAGAATCGAAATGATGCAGATATAGACTTTTCAAAGATGTTTACTATTATAAACATGTATTTCACACAAAAATCCCTTTGTTTTGGTTCATCCACACCGAATATAACTGAAATAAAGACAACAGTTGAGATGGGTCATTACCACCATACAATAATATCCAGTACCATTATGTGGCTATGCAACAAAACTAACTCTCCATAACCGGCCTTAAATAAAACTAGACAATTCCAACATTTCAAAAGTTTTCAAAATTATTAATTTCGTATTTTATGTAATTCAAGGATATCGTTGGTCTGTTGCTAACAATGCGTAATACTAGTGTCATCTGGAATGTCCAATTATATTTACTTTTTCTTGTCTTTCTGTTTCCTTCTTCTTGTCTTTCTTTCCTGAAGGCTCCCCAATCTTCAAGTTATGTTCCAGACAGGGTTATATATCAACGACCTCAGCATGCATGACTCGAGCAGAGATCTGGTCTTAGCCGGTACCCAACAGTCTGCTGAACTCAAACTTGCCTTAGACCAGGTAACAAAACCCTCATCACAATCTCAAAGACTTCCAAAAAAATCAACATAAGGCACTTTCAGTAGCCTCGTGTGTCATGAAGTGAAAGACGTGCGAACATAAATCTCAGCACCCGATAATTGTTTATATAGACAGTATAAAACGGTTTTGAAAGTGCTCTTAAGATTTTTGTTAATAGTATTTGCGCTCTTAATCCTGCCATATGTGGGTGCAGAATGAATCCCGAGTTGTATAGGGAGCTCGGGTTGAGGTTCGGGATGACTTGGAGAAGCTTGTACTGAAATCAATATCGATGTGAACATTTAGGAAACAGCCATAGTTTCTAGAAGAGTTGTTGCAGGCTGTACTGAATTTTGACGAGCTGTTGCTGACTTCCCTTCTACTAGTAGTTGTCGACCTGGGTTGGGGTTTTGCTCTTGCCGATTCGTACCCAAACGACCTGCTGTCTTTCTAAGTACGCTGTGGTTTCTAATATGGAACCCGGGTAACGTCGACACAACGTGGAGAGAACGAGGGTAATACCTATCCATTGGAACATTCTTAAAAGGGGATATATGATCGTAAATCCTCCTATATGTTGCAAGTTAGCACGAGTTACATCGAGCTATCGGTCATTTCCCCCCGAGTTCCTTGCGAACTTTGTCGAGCTTGCTCTGGTTCAGTCTCCCCCACAGTGTGTGTATCAAACACGTGCCTTGTGCTTAAGCTATCATTTTCCAATTTCTCTTCGCAAGGAACTAAGGAAAAGTTCACAGCTTGAGGAGAGCATGACAAAGCTGGATCTGGAGATGAAGAGAACTGATTCGCTGCTCTACCAGATGATACCGAGACAAGTGGCGGAGAAGCTCCGGAGAGGGGAACCAGCCACAAGCACGTGTGAAGTAAGAGGTATTCTTTTTAATGTTAGTAGGAAATTTTAGATTTACACGTTGACAGCTTTGACTGCAACGTATGACGTCATTTTAAGGCACTGCGCATGCGTCACATCGTCTCAGTCGGCGATCGAGAATGCGTCAACCTTGATTTTCCTAAATCTAGTACGGTTTTAGTATATGCATAAAGTATACAGTTCCCAGGTAGACAAAGGAACATCCCTTCCCTGCTATTATGTAAAAATGTGTAGAACAGGCGTCACATGCATGTTCACCTGTTCTAAACATTTTTACATAATCGTAGTGAAGGGATGTTCTACCACAGCAATTGTTGAGGGTAGAATGAGAAACTGTATATTTTGTCCTCTTTCTTTGTCCGTCATATTCATAGTGTTATTTCATGCATGCTTGTATATCGTCGAGTGCAATCTAAAAGATTTCTATTAATTGTAGTCAACATGGGCAGTTGAGTACGTTGACACGCATGATCAGTCGGCGTTCGTCGTGTTCTCGTCCACTCAATCTCAAAGTCCCTATTGTATACGTTGTGGCTCGTGAAATCCTCATAGGTCACTGCCATTACGCTTAGATCAAACTGGTTCTACCTGGGATTGTCTTTCTACTCTGTGCCAACCTGTTTATTTATTTATTCGTAATTTCGTATCGTTTCCTCTTCGTTTTCCAGGTATTTACCGCTGTCACTATTCTCTTCAGTGATGTCGTCGGCTTCACGACGATCTGTTCGCGGATCCCACCCATGGCTGTCGTCTCTCTGCTGAACGGCATGTACATCAAGTTTGACAATCTCAGCGAAACCTACGAAGTCTACAAGGTAAAACCGGTTAAAGATTAAAGGGTAGTCTGATAGAAAGAATGGGGCACAAGGAGACAATTAACCAAATATACAAGAACAAGGAGAGAGAGGGACGAAAAAAGCAGTCAGCCCCGAAGACATATGACATAAATATACAAGGGATTCTGCTTATTTAAATACGTTCTTACAATTCAGTGAAGTTCGTAATTGCTATAAAATTGCTCTATTAAAAGAAAATCGATATAGATATATTAAAGAGAACGTTTTTCACCCTAATCCCTGGTGAAATAGATGGATATCCGATTCATAGAAATCCAGCCCCTCCAGGCAGGTTAGGCACAGCAGCCACAGCAGCCACCGTGCCCCTAGTAGTAACCATGTTGTCTTTAATCGCTGTTATTATTATCATTATCATCATCACTGTACTAAGACAATCAGCAGCATCCGTCTTACTTTTGTTATTATATCACTGTGTAGGTTGAAACCATAGGTGACGCCTACATGGTAGTGTCGGGTGCTCCTACGACTACCAAGTACCATGCTGTACGGATAGCAGAGATGTCGTTAGCAATGAGGGAAAGTATGAACGACCTCATAGATCCCTCGAGCAAAGATGAAATCGTCAAGATACGAGTCGGTAAGGAGGAGGTTTGACATGCTTTATATTTATCTCTATTTCTTTGTACACTGATAAGTGCTTCATTTATGTACTTTGTGGCACTCCTTGCAGCTATTCGCCCACCTACCATCCCGATTGAGCAACAAACGAGATTTCTCCATCTAGTATCAAGTATCAAATATTCCGTGTGAGATAAAGGATTATATTTATTTATTTATTTATTTATTTGACATCTTTATACAGGATAAAAAGAAACAATCGAATCAGCAAAGCTGTTTTTATCGATATCCTGTTAACATGATTAAACATTTTTAATTCTAACCAATAGGATTTATTTCATTACATCAGTAAAAAAAAATACACAAAATAAGGCTTTAAAATGCAAGAAAAACTAATTATTCGAAATTCGTTTGAAAGAAGTTAATGAATGACCAATCTTATTTGTTGAGTGAAAAAAATATAATAGCAACAATAAAGACGGTTAAGAATCCCCATGGTTAGAATTAGATAACAAGTGCAAATATGAATATAATAATCCATATAAATATTATACTTAAAAAAGCATCTACAATACAATATACAATAAATACATAAATATAAATATATTGCATGAAATTAAGTATTGGGTACCAATTACGTGTTAGGTTAAGGTAAGGTTCCAGAAGGAATAAGAAGTCGCAATTATGACATAGGAGCAAAATAGAAAAAACGTGATTTCTCTAAATAGGTGTAATTACTTCATTTTTTAAAATTTTAAGGGACATTTTAGTTGGACAAAATACACATATATGTAACAAAAACTGAGATGGTGCCATTTTTTTAGATCAGTATTGCGACCAAAAAGCATTGGGACTATACGTATATGTAGCAACATAAGCGGTCGAAAGTATATCAGATAATAATCATGATTATATTGTTATTTGAAATATGAGGTTAGTTAAGTAGAATTCATTTTCACGTGGAATTGCTAGTATGATATTCTTCGACATGAGAATAAAAACAATTTGAAAACTCACAAATTATTTTACATAATAAGCATCTTAAACGGCTCTATCAGTCATGACAAATTTCAAACAATGAAAGAATATACGACTTGCTACCTTGTAGGTGTGGTGCAGGCCGGTGCCGTCGGTCTCAATATGTCTCGAGCCATTAATAAACAGCATACACAAGTGACATCAATGTTCCCCATGTATCAAATTTGGAACATCAGGCCATTTCAAGAACATCCCTTGTTTGTGTCATTGCCACCATATTATTCTCCACATGAAAATGAAAAGATTTGGAGAAGAAAAAAGTTCAATCAACTGAACTCCATTTTTCATATAACAAATATTCTGCATATACAGTAGGCTGGCGGGTGCACCATGTGAGAGAGAGAGAGAGAGAGGATTGAGGAGTCCTGAAAAGGACTCTCGGTAATCTTTCTTGAGGATGTGTAGTCCTGAAAAGGACTGTTGGTTATCTTTCTTAGCTTATAGTTCGAAGGAGAACTATAGCGCTTGGAGAGGATGAGTGGCGGGAGTGGCTCGACGTTTCGAACAGGTTGACTATCCGTCGTCAGGATATTCTGCAATTACATAATATGCTTCTTGCATTGTAGGTATCCATACCGGTATGGTTGTGGCCGGTGTGGTCGGTCTGAAGATGCCTCGCTACTGTCTCTTCGGTGATACAGTCAACACGGCCTCAAGGATGGAATCTACAGGAGAAGCCCTGAAGATTCACATGAGTGAGACCACCAAGAAGAAGCTAGATCAGTGGGAAGGATACTACGACATAGAAGAAAGGGGCTCGACAAACGTAAAGGTACAGTCAGGAACGCCATTAGGGACATTTAATTTCTGCACGACGAGAACGTGGACTGCCCTTTTAAGGCAATGTGACGTCACTGCCAGTGCCTTAAAAGGACGTCACATTGCCTTTAAAGGGCAGTCCACGTTCTCGTCGTGCAGAATCTAAAAGTAGGTATAGCGCACCCAAAATAAGTACAACAAACACATGTTATTTGATGATTGCAAATGATCAAGCTTCATGAAAGCTTCAAAAAACAAAAAACAGAATTGAAATCGGTCAATGCGTTGCGATTTTATACCATTTTTAGGAAATCGCAAAATTACCGAAAAACCTGCCAGAAATTGTCAAATTGGCAAAAATAGCAAAATTCGACAAATTTGACAACTTAATTCATCACTTTCTAGGACACAAATAATAACTTAAAATATCATCTTTGTGGTAAAAATACAAAAAAAGAAAATTCATATATCTATCACCGTTTTGAAAACAGAAGCCAACAAAATAAGTCATTTTTGCCATTTTTGCGAATCTGCAGATATGAAAAAGTTGTGAAAATCCGCCTAATTAATATGCGCATATGTTATCAAATCAAAACCGAACATGATACATCAGTGAAACCTATGTATATCCGACAGGTATGGAAATATATTTTATTTGGAGAAAAAAAAATCATGAATATTCATCAAATATGCAAATTAGCATTTCAGCTAATTATTTATATATATATAGGAAAGTCAAACTGTTTATTTTGCTGGCATTTTTTTTATCATATATTTATAGATCATATTAACATCAAATATTAACATTAAATTCCAAATGTTTTTGCAATGCCAATAAAATATGGCGATGGAAATTACTTGGATCACCGTCACAGCTATTTCCTCACGTGTTTCACAAAATTATTCAGAAAAACCCATCAATTAATCAGAATCTGCAGACTTTCAGCTACATCACAGTATATTATTACAGCATGTACTAAAGGAACCTGTACATGAAGACTACTTTTCTTGTATCCCTCGTGTGGCCTTTATAGACAGGCTTCACTGTATATGCAAGAACGTCAGTTTCTGGTGGGTAGGACCAAGGCCTATGAAGCACATGGCATGGGGTTAGAATCACTACCAGGGCACTAAACAAGTGTCCATTAACAAGATGAAGCTAGATCAGTGGGATGGATACTACAATATAAAGGAAAGGGGTTCGACAAATGTAAAGGTACAGTCAAACCTGCTTTCGTGACTACCTGTCTACAAAGACCACATTTCTTGTTTCCCTTGAAAATGGTTTCGCATTGAAGCATCTACTAATGGAACCTGCAATATCAGCACAGTTAGATGAAAAACATGACAGTTGGAACAAGTAGATTCATATTTTCTTTTTACTGACAAAGCCAATCTACATCAACGGCCTGCTTTCTGAAGTAAAGGGTGGCACCTCCAATATATTAGTGTAATTAAAATGTCTGTCAATTACTTTAGCAACATATATAATCGACATCGTGAGTATTACTGATCTTATAATTTGGCATGTTCAAAATGTTGTGGGTTTTCATTTTATCTGTTTATATATGGCCTACAACCATGACAATAGTAGACTTCATTGTTTGGTTTTGTGTTCGAAACTGAAAAAAGGGGGAAATTAACATACTTCATAGGCGTACTGGTAGTAGAATGATAAACATGTGACTCGTGTTTGTCTGAATTAGGTACTTTATAAAATTGATTGTACATGTAAAGTAACTGATATATGCCATCATTACGTCGCATGTCTTATCGATTTCATTATGACGTCACCTACAGGGCAAAGGTTCGATGAAGACCTACTGGCTACATGGCAAGACGAGGGATCCTAGGATGAGCTCTCCGATGAACCTGGCGCTAGAGGAGAAAGGAGCATCTCGGTCTCGACAGTCCTCCATCGACTCCTCACCGGTGTTACGAAGGTAAAAGTCGTGATTGTTAAGCCCCTCTGCACTGGTTTGGCATGGAGGGATTAGACCTCCCTGCAAGGTCACTGGCAGGTGGTTATCTTATCAAATCAGCTCTCAATTAACATAAGAAAATGGCATCATGCAGGATCAACGGGTACCGCTTAGGCATTGTTGGCTGTATAGAGGGCACAAGTAGTTATGAGTAGTGCAGTGGGGCTTTAATTTCTTACCTAGTTTCCGTCACGATTCTTATCACTTCCGACTTGGAGAAGAAAGTCAATTAATCAAATACGAGACGTGCAGAGAAGTAGGCAGATTTCTTGCCATTCTAATCTTGGTTTTGGGGGTCAGGTATAAGTCGTGTCTAGGCGGCGTAGACTACTGTTTTTACCCATCATGCGTCATTCCGAGTCGGATTATGTTCTGCGATAAGTGTTTTTCCTGACTACGATAAATAGGTGTGTTTTTTTAACAGAAGCAACAAAACGACAATCCATGGAGCGTTTTTGTTCTCACCAGGAAATTATCGTCAAGCATTCGAAGCATTAAACATGTTTAGGTACAATTCTTACTTAACGACCTCTTCTAATTTTAAATTTGTCAAGGGTGCGCATTTTGAAGGCTCTGATTTGCATCCTACAGCTATCACATCATTTCTAAACAGTATACTGTTTGGGGATGCAATTTCAAACCTCTGTTTCTTGAGCTTAGTACACAATATCATTCCCAACCATCTTGGGCAATGACAGAAATGTTACATACATATCTCTGTTTCTCTGTTGGTAGGAGTGTAGCCGGTTCACGTATGGCGTTGGAAGGCGAGCCGCGGAGTGTTTCAGCGAACTCGAGGGCCTACTCACCTGTCATCGCAGCTGAGTACCTGGACCATGGCTTAGCATCTCAGGCACTACGAGCCAGCCTTGCACCCAATGACAGCTCCGACAAGCTCAGTATGTCCTCTACAGAGACAATCAAACCATCTAGTGGCGGCGACTGCCTCAGCATCGTACGGCGCGACAGCAAAGCAAGCATCTTCATGGGGTATGTACCAGTGACGCCCTCTATCGTTGACTCAATAGCAGAGACTGCCCCGATGACGGTGTGTACATGTCAACGGAAGGTCTCTCTTTGCAGCAGGGAAGTCCAGACGGAGGAGGTAGGGACTGTCGATGTTGATTTCGTCAAGGAAATTGAAACGAACTCCCACGGGATTGGCGAGAAGAGAACACTTGGAAACGGAGCCGAGACTGAAAGAAGTGTTGGGGGTATGGAAAGGAGCAAAGGACAGGCTGACGTTGCCCACAGCTCTGCATGCTGTCTTCTATAAGTTGGCTGACTGGAACGCTCCTAAGTGTTTGATAGCTATCTTTACAATGACGTTTTATAGACAGGGGCGGAAACACCTCATGAAGGAGTTACGGAATGTCTCTAGATCACAATATGTTGGAACACCCTTTGGGCAGGTCAGCCTGAAGATGGTACACTAGAAGCAGAGCATTTTTCTGAGGCCTTTTTCAAACGGGAGAGTGCGTATGCTTCTCTATTCTGTGCATGATACCTCTCTTCAATGTACTAAGACTTCTCTCTCTCTCTCTAACCACGCCCCCCCCCCCCCTCCTCACATACAAAATGTGAGTCGAAAACAAAAATTCTGTTTCAGAGGCCACGTTCGTTTGTAAAGAAACATTTTAACATTTCGAACAAAACGATTCTTCTCTGTTTAGAGAGACAATATACACATTTTCACTTGAGTAAGAGCGACGTCAAACTTGTCAAAGGACTGTTTGCCTTGTCAGACCCCTAAATCACGAGTCACTGAGACATACATTTCTGGAGGACAATGTCTGTCCCTCGTGAACTACGCAAGTGCTTCATCGAGGTCAATTGACCTATCCTTTCAACCAGGCACCTCGATTTCCCGCTACATAAGAACATAAGCAGACTTGACTAATTAAATTTAATTTATCAGAACAACAAAAAAATGAAAAAACAAAGCGTACAAACGTTTGGTAAACCTGAATATCCAAAAAATTAAATAGAAATATGTGATGACTATGATTTCAGTAGATGAAATATTCGATTTCCAATAGATGCACCGAATAATTCTTCATATTTCTTGTTTAAGAATAGTCCAGATCGTACAAATCACAAATATGTTATAAATCTGCAGCGCCGCAGCGAGCAGCATGACTTAAGAGCCACGCGTGTTACATGTCTCGTTAACGGGGTCATCTTTTGTCCTCCAAATCTGGGCTTGCTCCAGACCCCTCCTGACCGATCGCACCACATCGATCATGGCGATGTAAATACTACGTTATCTCAGGCGTATCGTTTAATAGTTTTTGTAAGATGTTAGTGGAACACAAAATATATCATTTGAATGTATTTCCACAAGTAAATCATGAACTGTTTGTTTTTAATGGGTAATCTTGTTTGTTTTATTGTGGTTGCAGCAAATATTTCATCCGAGTGTCCATGATTGCTTATCAATTGTCATTGCCGTTTTAGATATCTAAAGACTTTGAAATAGGTGATAATACGGAAAATAATAGCAAAATAAAATACATGAAGTTAAATGTGATTTTTAACAAAATTGAAGATGGAGTAAGAAGAATATAAATATTTTATAAAGACCAAATATGAAATTGTGAATTATCCATTAAATATCTACATCTAATTTCCTAGTCAAAGATCAAAGATTTCTTACCAATGTAGTGCTGGAAATAAGGAATGTTTATCTTTTCCTTCAGATGTGATTGTCACTCTTTCAACAGGTTTATTTTGCAGGACATACGGACTGTCTGTGAAGAGCATTCGATTCGAGTTATGTTCATGTATAATAATTTCTTCGACAAATGTTCGCCATTTCCATCTGTATGATATTCCCAATTGTTGTGTGTGTATGTTTTGTTTTTCTCTCTGTGCTAGCATACCTTAAAGTACGTTAATCAAGTTATTTTTAGTTTGCAAACTTTGTTCAGGGTCGTTAAGTTAAAACCTTGGTAATAACCAAAATATTCTTAAATGCAATCCGTGTGCATTTGTAAATCAAATGCCTGTCTATCTGTATGTGGTCATGTGGCGACGCGAATACAAAATATAGTTTGTTCAGCTATTAAAGGCTGTATATTGCTCAGCATTGTGTAGATATTTGATTGTGTGTGAAAAACAAGTTTTCAGATATTTTCTAGTTTTTATATGAGAAGAAATATTATATGTTGATAATGTAGACGATTTGTATTGTGTCTAATTTTCTTTCTGAAAATATTCGAGGTAAACAACTAAACTTGGAACGGACTTGTTTGTCCAGCTGATTCGTGTTGTAATACAGGCGAGATGATTTTGTAAAGAAAAAAAAATGTGAATTTGTCCGCTGATACATCCGAACCCAATATGCTACTATAGGTTTTCCCGCCCAACTTCGTAAACTTAGCATCCGAATTAACATTACGTTCATTCAAGTTCGTGCGAAATTGAATGACTATGTAGATCAACATTCAAATACCTAATTGCGTCATTCAATTTGATTTAGTAGCATGCGATTTCATACTCTTGTCACGGAGACGTGCAAAACGAGCATTTAATTTAGAAAAGCGTGCAAAGAGCATTCAAATTCGCGCCGGACAGACGGTGGTATGTCTTCGTGCATTCAATTTCGTGATTAGGCATACATTATGTGACATTTGTGCATTGCTTTTCATTTGATGTTAATTTGTCACTTAATATACTTCTGTTTGAATAATTTGATGCAAAGTTTACTTAGACGAATGACATGCGTAATCGTTCTGTCATTACACAGTCAGGTAACTGTTCCCAGAGAAGGTGCACAATTTTTTTTTCTCTTCTAAGCACAAGCTATATATAAACAGATCTTGGACAGATGTAGAGCGACATGGTCATGATGGAAACAAAATACAATGATGAATAAAGAAAATATTTTAAATTAAAAGAAAGAAAAATCACCTACTCAATCAAGATCGATCAAAACAAACCATTAATAATGAAAAGTATGAAGATATGAATAAAGTGATGTTTAAACAAAAATAAAGAATGTCGAAAGAAAGAGAAAACATCAAATGCAATATGAATATATCAGATAAATAAGAAGATTGTATAATTTGAAATCATGTCAGAAAAGATCATAGAGAAAAAGAATAAATAAATGAACATGAAATACTGAATATCCGAATGAACATCGAGCCTCATACTATGATTATGAGGTCTAGTTTTAATTTGAATGACCCGATTGCGAAAGAGGTTGCCCATAGACGAAAATGAAACCGCAATTCGCCAAAGAATTCACCTCCCACTCAACATTGGCGAAATTGAATGACCCTTACGCATTTCCAAATTGGTTGAACCAAGCTTAAATTTGAATGTGCATGTTTAGAAAATTCGGTGCCTCGAAACGAAATTGAATGCAACAAGTTGAAAAATGAAACAGGGGAGCAACGAGTGGAGAAAATTTGCTCGAACATGAATGCACGTTAATGAAATTGATTGCTGCTTTTACAAAATTGGCCGGGAAAACCTATAGTATACATAGGAGGATTTTGGTTACTATAGATAATTATCCTGTACTATCCGGACAGCTACATCGTGGCGGAATATGAACCCGGACACCTACCATTTAGAATGAAAGTAATAAGCGTAGATTGAAAATTGTCCTGCATGGGTATGGTTCCCCGGTTACCATAGGCAGATAACCAGGGGGGGAGGGTAATCGCTTTGGTTTTTGGTATTTTTCGAAATAGTAAGAAAAAGGACAGGAATTTTTACTATGCTACATTGATCACACGTTGTTCTTATAATCGGCAACAATAAAATGTGTTTTTATTATTATTTCATTTGATTGCTACATTGTTCTAAGGAAATGTAAACTTTTCGTAGAGTTGTGTATGCTTAATTTCTGTCGAACAAAAATGATTTTGAAACTCTCAATGTCTTGCCATATTGACGATTTTAAAGCATATTCTCATTTTTCGAAATTCATGGCATCAGACGCAATATTAGGGACTTTTAGATTTACACGACGAGAACGTGGACCACCACGTGTGAAATCCTTTGAAGGTAACGTGACGTCCTTTTAAGGCACTGCCGGGCACGGCCCAGTACCTTAACACAATTTTACACGCTGCAGTCCACGCTCTCGTCGTGTAAATCTAAAAGTCCCTACTAGGGACTTTTTAGATTTGCGTGGACTGATACGTGTGACGTCCATTCAAGGCTGTGCATTAAAAGGACGTCGATCGTTGTGCAAATCTAAAAGTCCCTATTGTCATAGAGACCCCCCCCCCCCCCAGATGACTTAGTGTGGCCAGATATTTTTGCCCTTTCTACTCATCCAACTGGCATATTTTAGGGCTCCGAATCCAAAGTTATTGAGTCAAACCACAAAATGGGGAATGCTTGACCCGGAAGTGTTCAGAACCGCTGCCTAATTGAAGGTACTGCTTTGCACCCCTTGATCGTAGTAGACAGGAGGTCACATCCCCTGCGCATGCAAGTTTTGTCTCATCTTGCCATTTCGATCAATGATAATATGTTTAATATATTTGAATCGGGTTGCTGGACAACTTTTAGGCTCTGTATTTCTGATGAAGTTGGGATAAGGAGAATAGGATGTATATTATAAATTTCCGACGCAAACGCACACGATATTTAGATGGACATTACGTTTTGGAAAGAAAATATTTTTATGTTGAGGTGTTGTGAATTTATTTGTACTTGTTACTAAGCCCCTAAAAATATCCTGCAATTCAAGTTCGAGAGTTCATATTTGTTGTTTCTGCACTATGATGCTAGATGTTGGTTTCATCAACAAACATTTAATTATGGAATGTGCAGTACACCTAAATATGAGGCGATCTCAGAATTGAAATGTTGCAAAATGCATTGTGATTGTCCATAGTCAAATATGCAGGTGTGCTACACATTCCAGTTTAAATGTTTATTAAAAAGTGGAGCATCATTGTAAAAGGGAATAAAAAGGCTTTTTTAACGATGACGACGTCAAATATGATATATATAGTGAAATATGTCGATAGAGATTACCAAAGGGAGACAAGAAAAGTGGTCTTTCTAGGCAGGTGGTCTTTATGTACAGGTTTCTTTAATACATGTTTCAATGAGAAACCATTTTCAAGGGAAACAAATAATCGCTCTTTGTAGAGAGTTGGTCTTTCTATGCAGGTGGTCGCTAAAGCAGGTTTGACTACAGTAACAAGAGAGATATCAACGCTCCAACTTGAATTGCAGAGTTTTTTGAGGAGTTTTAGAACGTTTTGTTGTTGTTGTTTTTTTCCTTTTGTTTCCGCTTTTCGGCAAGGACATAGTCAGGCGATGTTATATCTGTGTCAATAAAATATTTCATATTTCTTCAGAACGTGTGAATAATACGATCAACTGACATATGCAGAAACTATGTGT